ATATGATAAAATTAAATTAAAACCAACCAAAATTAAATTAAAACCAGGGGGAAATACTTATTCTTATTTTCCTTTTTAGAGCAAAGAAATTTCAGCTCCACCTCCAGGACAGATAAATACTGGCAGAATGACGATGGATCCTTCCCTTCATCTTGTTACTTATTTCTCTCTGCATAAAGAGTGACATGGGTGCAGTGGGTTGAGCGCAGTGTTGTGAAGCTGTCTGCAGCCTCTGCAGCACTGGTTCGATTCCCAGCCAGCCAGGGAGATACTCACATGGTGTGACAGACCTCTTCTGTCTTACCCACTGCTCCCCTCAGCAGTGTTTTCAGTCCATCTGCCTGTTCTGCTCCCCGCTCTTTCTCTGGTGAAGCCTCTCACCCTCTTGCACCTCTGGCCTATACTCCCATACTGTATAAATAAATCTTAAAAAAAAAAGTGACATGTTGGGAGACATGGGGAGAAGCTGGCACCCAGAGTGCCATGTTGATACAGGGTTATGTCCAGAGTCTTGGGTTTGGTCTCCCTTTGGTGCTTCTTGATCTGCCCAGGCCTGAGCCCCACGTAGGCTCTGTGCTTCCTGCAGAGTACTAGTTACGTCAGATGCGAAGACTCAACTCCCATCCCTTTCCAGCTCTCCTTGGAGGGGAAGCTAGGTAGAAGCTGTGATTTGGTTTTATATCAGTCTACCAAAATCTCTGTTTTAAGGGACTATACAGTACTGTTCAGCTGGAGGTGAAATTGGTACTATTTTTTGTTCATCTGTGTAAGGGCAGGAATGGACACAGTACAGGTTTTCTGATCCAGCAGACTGGGTGAAGGAGGAGTCAGAGTCCCCAGTAGTTTTTTGCAGGTCTTTTATTGGGGTTCACCAGGCATATGGCAGGCCTCCCAGCCCCCAGCAAGTCTTCACTCTATCTGGGCTCTCTAGCATTCTCTGCTTCTGCTTCTTTGCTTCTCTCTCAGCTTCTCTTTTGGCTTCTCTCTCGGCTGTTGCTGCTTCTTTCTCAGCTTCTCTTTTGGCTTCTGCTGGTGTCCCTGTGATGCCGCCCTTAAAAGCACAGTCTTAGCCCAGGTGAATCCCATCTACCTATGCCCACACCCTATTCCAGGTGTCCGCCATCAGGCATGAATTCAGGACCGCAAGGATCCATCATCTATCCTGATGGCGGGAGGGTAGAAAAGCCTGACATTTATCCTTACCCTACAATCTGTCTCCCTGTGTTGTTCTCAGTTTTTCTACAACCTAAAGGAGCAAGAGGGGTTCTTGATTGGCATCTGCAAACCTCCCACAAATGTACTAATTATGCACCATCTTATAGTCTTGGGCATATAATATCACTGCCTTCTTCAGCTAGAATATAAGCTCTGAAAGTAAAAGTTAGATAACCTCCTGCTTGTAGCAAAAAAGCAATGCAAATAACCCTACGTGATGCTTATGATCAATCTTATAATGCTGTGTGTAAATTCCAAAAGCCACCATTTTGAAATCACCCCAAAGTCGCCTAATACTGGTAAACTTGAGACAAAGTGACTTTTCAACAAACTGATAGCCACAGTTAGTAGGCTACCACCTAAATGGGTTATCAAAAATAAATCCTCCCAAGGAAGAGCTGTTAAAGGATAAATGATGTCAACCTTTCTCCTTGGCAGTGCTGGCTCGCCTCCATCCAGGCCCAAGTGACCTCAATTAGTTACCACAACTCATCAGAGTTAAATCAAATCCATCTGCAGTTTGGGTGGTTGGGGCTCAATCTAGGAAAGCTGCCCGCGCTGAGAGGGAATGGACACAAAGCCTGCTGAAATCCATCCAGATCATATCTGATCTCCCAGCAAGAAGGAAATGCCACCACCATCTGCCTCTGTTTGTGATGACCTGGGAATAAATAAAAATTAACCTTGGTTCTTGAATGGGCTGTGGAGCTTATCAACACTTCCTTTGTGTCTCCAATGACTATTATAGAGTGAGTTTACAACGAGGGACTGGGCAGGAGGCTCATTGTTCTAAATGACTCTTTCCCAGGCATGGTGCATCCCACCTACTTCTCTCCTATCACATGCACCACCAATGCCCTTTGTGCCCTGTGTAGGTAATCAGGATAAATAAGGAAAGTAGGTTTTTTTTTTTTTTTGTGGGACCCTCACCGGCGGCCGGGGAATGAGCTGGCGCTGCAGAGGTGGGCAGCCTCACAGCCCAGCGCTCAACCGCTGCGCCACCAGGGGAGGCCCAATAAGGAAAGTGTTTTAATCCCAGTAAGTGCTCAATGAATTATTTGGAAAAAGGAGAAAAGGTAGTAAGGGAAGGAGGGAAGGAGAGAGAAAGCTAGACAGAGGGAGGAAATGAAAATCAGATGATCTGTGGAGCTGGATGTGAACTGGGTCTCCAGGGTGCTGCATCTGTCTCTACAATTGTCAATCAATAGGCCAGTTTCTGTGCTCACTGTTGAACACATAGTTTTCCCTTTAATCCTCATAGCAACCTCATGATGTATAACTCACTATTTACAGGTGAGGCCATTTCAAAAGACAAACAAGTTACCCAGGACAAGCAGCCAGTGACTAGAATAGCCAGGACTCGAACCCAAAAGTAGCCGATTCAAAAATCCAATCTCATTCCACAATTCTGCACTGATTCTCAGTGGAATTGCCACTGGGCACTGGGGGAGAACTATGATTAGCTATTAACTTTATTTTGAACTAACATGCTAGTCACTTAGCAAGGCCCTGAAGAAATGGAGCAAAATAGCAGCACACTGTTGTTGGCCTTGGAGTTGGGGTGGGGTGTGTTGGTGAGGGCGCTGGAAGAGTGGAGGAGAAAGCGCTCTAGATGATAGGATGCTAATTTAAGTTTTATTGGTTCTGGCATTTGCTGGACCTCTTAGCGCTCCTCAGAAAACATGCTGCCGCAGGTGCCTTAGAATCCCATTTAGGATGTGCTATCAAGGATAGAACAGTCCAGAGTCTTTGGGGCTGAGAGTGCATGTGTAGAAAAAGATTCAGGGCAGATTTTTTACACACTAGTTTGGACTGGAGCACAGCCAATGTAGTCATTTTTTTTTAAAAGATTCATTTATTTATTTATACAAGAACCGGGGTACAGGCCAGGTGCGCGGGAGGGTGAGAGAATTCACCAGAGACAGAGCGGGGAACAGAGCAGGCAGACTGACAAAATATACTGCTGAGGGGAGCAGCAGCAGGCGTGACAGGAGAGGTCTGCAGTGCCCTGTGGGACCCTCACCAGCCGGCCGGAATCGAACCAGTGCTGTAGAGTCTGCGGACAGCTTCACAGCGTAGCGCTCAACCACCTGCGCCACCAGGGGAGGCCCCAGTGTAGCCATATTTAAAAATCTGCATACCATGTTGTAAAGGCAGGAACTGGGCACAGTGCCGGTTTTGTGATCCCATGCAGACCGGTAAAGGAGGAGTCAGAGTCCTCAGTAGTTTTGCAGGTTTTTTATTTGGGGTTCACCAGGCATATGGCAGGCAGGGGTGCAGGCTGGGGGCTGGGAGGCTGGCAGGCCTGCCAGCCTCCCAGCCCCCAGCAAGTCTTCACTCTATCTGGGCTCTCTGGCGTTGGTTCTGCTGCTTCTCGGCTTTTCTTTCAGCTTCGGCTTTGGCTTTTACTGCTGCTACTGGTGCTGCTGGCGTCCCCCCGTGATGCCGCCCTTAAAAGCACAGTCTTAGCTCAGCTGAATCCCATCTACCTATGCCCACACCCTATTCCAGGTGCCCGCCATCAGGCATGCATTCAGGACAAGGATCCATCATCTATCCTGATGGCGGAAGGGCAGAAAAGCCTGACATTTTCTTTACCCTACAGTCCACCCCCTCAGGGTTTTCTGCCATACAGTCTATACATATATATACAATTTTCTAAGCAAACAAACAATGCAGCCATGGCCCACAAAAGCAAATACATCACAATATAACAAAATACAACAGAACACAAATAAGTCCAGGCAGGGCACCAACTTAGTG